AAAAAAAAACTGAAAGGTGTGAAACTTATGAGTTTCATGTACAAAATTTGTATTGTGGAACTCTTGGAAAAATGCATGTTACAGACTTAACTTTGATCAACTTAAACTGGGGTTCTTTCGAATATCTCTCTATGGAACAGCAATGGAAATACTCGATCACCGCATTCATTGCTGCTCTCGGAGGTTCCATCGGAATGTGGCTTGGACTGAGTATACTCTCACTTATCCAGGTTGTTAAGAAATTTGCTGCTTTCCGAGGATAGTTGAGTTTCTCAAGACATCGTTTCTTTTCCAGGGAGGAACATATCTTTACACATATTTCACGAAGAAGGTTGTGAAAGAAAAGCTGTTGAAAAAGGTATCAGCGCAGCGGAGAGGAAGCAAGGTAAGAAAAGTCATTTCTTATAAACCAGGCAAATGAAAAATTAAATTTCAATGGTGCAGCTGGAGGGTAACCTGTTGCATTTCTGCTACTGGACGCTTATAAATATAAAGTTGTTTTCTAAGAAATTGGCATCTCCTTGAGAAGGATACTGCATGAACATCTATTGCACATAGAGTTCACTCCAAACTATACTATATCATAACTACAACTTCTGTTGGAGGATACATCCATCACAAGCACCCCTACATCACTTTCCACCCTACGTTCTTTCACATTTCCACTATCGCTATTTTCAGCTCTCCGGTATTGATTTGCCAACAAAGAAAATATCTATTGGAGCTAATCCCTTCGAAAATCCATTCCATCCACCATCACCTACTCCACATTACGAGCTTAATGTGAGCGTTGCACTATTATGTTTCCTTAATACAATTTAGACGAAAAAAACAAACAAAGGAGTATCAAATAACTCCAAAACAACAGAATTTTGTTCACAAAGAGATTCACCATTTTGAACATTAGCAGAGAGATATGACAAATGTACGAATATTAGGCAGCTAGAATCGCATTGTAAGGGAAGAAGAATGGTTACAGAGTCTGGAAAAGCTAAGCGCTATGTGTTTGAGCGAGATTTAAGAAGGTTCAAGTCGAAAGCAAAAGCGAAGGAAGTCAAACTGATGTTTGCCTCGTAACATGAAAACACAATTGGAGCGGAATGCAAGGAGTGATTGAGAGAGAAAGTAGGACGATGCATGAGAATTCAGTAAAGCAATTCAACGATTTTTTGAAAGAAAAACTAAGAAGGATTGTAAAACTGCGGAAACAGAGGAGCAAAAACCTTAAATTAGCGCTTTTCAGGAAGTCTCACCACCCGGCTACAGTCGCAGCCCCAATCCAACAAAGATACAAGTGGATCAGTAAGAATAGTCAACACTTCAGGGAACTAAGCGTGTTAATGATCTTGCGTGGCGATATCACTTACTTCCTCATGAGATTTTCATAGATACTGGTACATAGCATTTCCAATTTAATCAATTGTTATACCAATCATGGTTGTGAGTAATAACTATTCCTCAGTATTTGTGATGAAGAATATACACTAATAAACTTCATGTTTTTTATTTATGTTAAACAAGATTTGCAAACTAACCTTGTTAACGTGAACTCCTTCTCACGTGGATCCTCAACGCTTGACCTTGAATGCTGAAGTGGAACTGAAATCTT